AGCAGATCCACATCAGCTATTACAGCTGCCAAATTAATCAACCTGCTTAAACAAATAAATGAACTTCAACTTCAACACTTAAATAAAATCAATAAAAATTGTCTTTAATTTGTTACCTATACTTAGAGTTACATCTATACATAATTTAACACGTATGTGAATAAATTCTCAAATTTACAGTATGAAGCCTGCAAACACAACTGATTTACCTGAGGAAAAAGTGTCCATAACTTCTCCATTTTGTTTTAATCAACATTCTGACCACAGGATGCTGCAAAGCCTCCTAAAAATGACAATCAATAATTAATTTCTGACCAAAATAATTTTGGTGTTTACAAGAGTGATCTAAGATTCAAACTCCTGTTAAGTATGTAACTGATATATTTATATAGAAAGTTTAAAAATTGTGAGGATGGACAACTTCTGACATCAAATTTTTTAATGCTCTTTTTTTATTTCAAAAGTTGTAAATAACTGAAGAAGGTCTCTGACCGAAACGTTTTTTATTAAAATTTGTTATATTTTTGACGTCGGAAGTTGTCCATCCTTGCAGTTTTTAAACTTTCTACCTTCGTGTTTGTTGTGAGGTTTGGACTGTGAATTTTTACAGATCCTCCTGGTGTGGTGCACCTTTGTTGGCCTGAGAGTTCTACTAACAACTTACTATATTTATATATATACATAAATAGAATAAATGTTTGAAAAGAAAATTTTCCCAGAGCGGGATTTGAACCCAAATTAGCCTGTATCTGTAATTGGATCCTTCTCTGTCACCCGCTAAGTTGACCTCGGTCGTGTATCTTTAACAGATCCTTAGTTGGGTTTCATATGGGGTTATAGGCTTCCCCTACCCTGTCACCTTGAAAATTAAGTTTCCCGGGAGACCACGTCTCCGATCACATAAATCACATCTTCGATTGCCATGTTGCCAGCATGGTTGTCCTGATAGTGTAGTGGTTATCACACCTGACTAATAACAGGGGGACGTGGGTTCAAATCCCGCTCAGGGCAAATTTTCTTTTCAAACATTTTATTCTATTTAAGTATGATTACTTGGGGTGTACAGGGTCAGGGTTTCCCTTGTATACAGAATATATATATATTTCTACTTTTCCTAAATATCTTTCAATAATAGTGCTTTTACATATTTTACCATGGATTTGTCCATAAGTTTGATTGTCTCTAGATTAATCTTACCTTGTTGTTACTCTTTGCAATTGCATGTAAACAAGAATCCTCTCTCCAATTAAAATATTTGTTCTCTGTCTGCCTTTGTCCATCTGAAGCCATAATCTTTGGGGGTTGTCCTTCTTCATCTCCATCCAAAATATCATAGCAAAAATGGTAGTTCAATGGGTCATCTGAGATTGTATTCCAAAGTCCTTCAATAGCCTCCCTCTCTTCTTCTGTTTCATAGTTTTCTTGTCGTTTTGGAAGATATGGCCAATGGGGCTTTACCATCTGGTCTAATACAGCCACTACTGTTTTCTATAAACAACACAAATCATACACAAGGTCTGTCAAAATTATATCTAATACAACTGTCTAACAAATTTAAAAAAATAACTCTGGTTAAAAAAATTATTTAAAAGTGTTACTTACATGACATCTATTATTGGCTTGTGACCCATCAAGTTATATATCTTATAGAAAAGAGTTGTCTACTCAGAGCCTCAGGCCTATTTGACATTTTTTAAAAATAAGACACACCTCACCTTCATTTTAGGATTCCCAATGATTGTTTTGAGGCTGAGGAAGGATGGTTCAGGATTTAACAGATTGCCTGGTGTCCAGGAAAATAACCTGTGCACTCTAAATAAAAATGATGGTGGAAATACATCATCATTTCAAAGGTAAGTTTATCTGGGGTCTAACGTCCATATTATTCATGAATATAGTACTCCTGTCTTTTCATTTAAAAAAGGATCTGTAACATCTTATTAACTGTAACCTAGAATTTTAAGCATTTTCATGAAAAATGATTTCATGTCTTTAACATCATATTTTACCAGTATCTTAAATAAATTTTTAGGAAATTCATTTCTGTTGGTTTAATAATACCTTTCATGCTCCATAACTCTAATCAAAAATGCTGCCACATCATCATTCTCTGCTGCTATTGCCAATTCCACTGGTAACATGGCTCTTTTTTTATAGGTGTTAGTTGATCTTCTGTCATTATGGTAAGCAGCAGAGGACATTTCCTCGCAAGTGTCTTGGTGACTTGTAGAAAGCCAAGTTCGGCTGCATAGTGCATTAGTGATTTTCTTGTTTCGTCATCTTCATCTTGGAACTCCTCGTATCTGTTCTCAGTGTTTAGTTCACTTTCTAAAAGAATCTCCAACCACCGATTTATCTATAAATCATTACGCTATTAAATATGATATATTTTCAATAAATTCTCCCACTACTTGGGTCAAATACATATGCATAACATGAATTAAAAACCTCTATCCTTACAATGCAGCTTACTCTTACAGTCAAATAAACTTACCAGTTGCTCAAGTCCACGATTTTTATCAGGATAATTTCTATTCTGTTTAGATGCTGGCCACTGTTTCAACATCACCAAAGCTGGGTCTACACTATCCATTTCTCCATTGTCCTGGTATTTTTTGATCAGTCCCTCAACACGAACTTCATCCATAGCTCTGTTCCATGACAACCCTTTGTTCTGCTTTTGATGAACCTTGATCATCAAATAATTCGTGTTCAGTGAAGTAATCAAGGACTACACTGTAACTTTAGAACTTCTCAGTAAATTAACAGAACTCATTATGTAACAGCATTTCAATTTTAATTTTTGTTACCCCAATCCAGAACTCCTCGTCGAATACAATCTCATCTTTTGGCAAAGCTTGTTGCTGATCACGACAGCGATCACTTTCAAGCTGATTTCCATCTTCATTATTTTTTTCAGCACGCCCTAACCCTTGTTCTTCTTGCCTCATCACTGATTCGTTTAACGCCAGCCACATTTACGCTACATGTGCTAGATATGCTCCATACATTTTTTTTAAAAAATAAGCTTTTCCAAACGCGTTCTCCCTTAGATCGGTCAGTACTACCTGAAAGAGCTGATTTATGTATGCGCATGCGCTAAGTTTTTCCAGTAGGGAACAACAGAACAACAGAACAACAGAAAAGGAACTCAACCCTGCAAGCGACTCAAATTCTGTCCCTCCCCTCCCCCCCGGAGGGGAGGGACAGAATTTGAGTCGCTTGCAGGGTCGAGTTCCTTTTCTGTTGTTTTGATGCGTCGTTTTCCTTGCCTATTTTCTTTCACAGAACAACCTCCAAAATCGTTGTACACCCCCTAAATATTTTCGAAAAATTAATTTTCCTCTCAATAGCTCTGGAAATGTCTTGGTTTCAAATGTCAGCCCATATTATTTTTATGAAACTTCAGTTAATTAAGCTTTGTCTCTGAACTTCAAATCTGTTTTCAAATCTTGTTCTCCAATGGAAATGATTATTTATCGTCCTCTTGCAAAGTGTACAATATATTTAAATTTAATTTGTCATTGCATTTATCTGCCTTTTGTTGAATAAGTATTTTTATTAAAAACCAGATCATTGGATAATGCAATTCAAGACTTTTTATTGGCTTAGCTATTATGGTATATCAGCCAATATACCATAATCTACAAATATGGCAAGCGTACGTGTCAGCTTAAAATTAAAAGGGAGCTAAAAATTTAATAAAATTTAATAACTCAATTTAACGTTTTTAATAAAGCAATTATTTCTCTCGCTCTTGTTGGATATGAGATGATTATAGCCAACTCGGCGCTACGCGCCTCGTTGGCTATCTATCATCTCATATCCAAC